ATGCAAGAGACGGGGTACTATACGGTACGAGAGTTTCGGTTGACAAGAAGAAACACATAAGCCAGATCGAGTACGCCAGCATGACGGACATCAATTTCCTGCGGGCTACCCCTATGGTGGTGATGGAGGGGAAGGTACGGGGTGCTCTTGGTGCTCCAAGGATGCGGCTGCTACGCTCACAAATATGTGACAAGGGAGAGCGTGCCGAGCTGAAACAACTGCGGAAGGCGATGAAACCCCCGGTGTCCCAGCCGAAGCAACAGCTGCAGTGGGAGGAACTGCTGGGGAAGAAGGTGGACTGGAAAAGGGCTATCCGAGTCCGGGACTCCCTCTCGACCCCAAGCAGGGCGAGAGAAATCATCCTACGGGTACACAGTAACAATCTTCAAGTGGGGGAACGCCTCCCTTTCCTGGGGGCACGGGCGAGATGCATACACTGTGGGGCAGTGGAGTCGTAGAATCACTGCCTTTTCAGCTGCCCGTCAATACAACCTATGGTCGGAATGATGAAGGCGGCAGTGCAGTGGATGAACCCTGACAGGGAGGTGGAGTCCCTTGGTGACATGCTTTTCCAGGAGAGCGGCACGTCGACGGGTTTTCCAGAAGCAGCGCTAATCTGCTCCACTGCGCACCAAATCTGGTTGGAGAGGTGTAATGCGGTTTTCAGGGGGAGCCGCTTCCAGCCAAAAAGAGCCCTGCGGCGGATTGCTGTTAGCTTCACGAGACATGTGAAAATCTACAGTCGGGCGCGGAAACGGGCGGCAAACAAGCCCGGGATGAGAAGGAAAGGGGAATGGTGCCATCTGGACGCTGACGAAGCGAGTGTCATGCGCAGGCTGTTTGATTCGGAGGCCTCGATGACGTGGAGATCGGGTTTCAAAGCAGTATGGGAGGATAGGGGGATAGCCTTTCAGCCACCGTAAAAGAGATAAGGGGGGTGGGGTTACAATAGTAACTTTCTACACTCTCCTAGCTCCAGTTACGACTGAGGATATGTGTATGCATGTTGTATACTTACATCCACCAAAAAAAAAAAAAAAAAAAAAAAAAAAAATTGACCCAGAGTCCGCCGAACAGGGTTGAAAAATATCGAACCCTCAACGTCCCATGCCAGCGCGGAATTGGTGGACTGGTTCATAGGAGACCCCATCTGCTGACAAGAGTCGCCCAATTGGTGGCTTTTCCTGATTGGCTATCGCGATACCCTCTGCCACGGAAGAACCTCTCCAAGCAAGTCTGACTGATCCCACTTGAGATTATTTTCCACGAGCACGAATACCCCCGCCACCAACGCTTTCATTTCTCCAGCTGCGAAAGGAGCCAGTAGAATGGCGGCGGTGCTTGGGGAAATCTCACGCACCTGCAGTAATTCTGACATGCTGACAAGATCAAGGAAACACCAAGTTGCTGAAAGTCAAACACCAGATGTAGCTGTGGATAGAGGGGGACATTGGAATTATGGGTTTGCGTTGTGTGTGAAGTCTAGCGTTTGCTGAGGCAGATACATTTGTGCAATATTCTTTCCGCGTGGACCCACACTGGAGGTATTTCACGTTCTCCACGTCGCAACTCTGCGGAATGGCTACTCCAGGTCACCTGCGATGCGACTGTATCAGCCTGGTATCATTGGTAGGAACCTGCGAAGAGAGTCTTACTTTGCTGACCCGTGCGGCATTATTGGTCTTTTGGTGCTTGTGTGGAAGTCTTGCGATTCAGAGTCAGCAAAAGCAATGCTGTGCGGCGGGAATGTGGAAGGCATAGCACGGGACATGTCACACACACAGGTGTGCGTACCACCACCGCCTACTATATTTTCGTCACCATCGCCGCATTTGTGTCAATACTACTGCCGAGTCTCTCTACTACTACTTCTATTACATCGCATTCGCCGTATTTCCTGGTTCTACGATTCGCTAGCACTGGCTTGGAACCGCCATGGCCCTCCCACGCCCCCGTCAAGTCTTTCTGTTGCTGCTCGTCGCCATTGCTGTTGTGACAAGCTCGCTCATCAGCAGTGCCGAGGCAAAAGCCAACTCACTTTCGATCGGCGGGTACAAATTCTATAGCAACCAAACGGTTGTGGATGCCAGCGGTGCCATTGTGACCCCCACCATAGGCGCGGATGGATCTATAAGCATTGGGGGGTATACTCGCTACGATAACGGCACTATCGTGGATCCTAACGGCGGCGTGCTTCTTGCCGAACGCCCCGATGGCAGCACCGTTTTTGGCAGCACGGTTATGTATGATAATGCCACCTTCACAGATCTTAGTGGGAAGCAGATTCCGCTTGTTAAGAACAGCGATGGTTCGGTAACTGTAGGAGATCTGACTGTGTGGACTAATGGTACCATGGCCACCAAGGGCGGCTTGGTAGTTGACACTGGAAGTCGCATTGATCTTTCCGGCAAAGCCACTTCTCCGATCAAGCCCGGTACAGTGACCTCGTATCCTCCCATTATAGCACGCCTTTTAAAGATTTTTTCATGCTTCCTTGTGTTGTTTTCGTTGCTCTTGTTTCCAGAATCTCTTTCGGTCCTTATTTGCCATCGATGACAACTAAGTTCTGATTAACACTTGCAGCCATTCTTTTTCCAACCGGGATTTTTTCTTCGCAGGCTACCTTGCCACCGCCATTATCATGGCTGCTGGTTTTGTGATGCTGCTTGCGTAGCCGGCGGCAAAAGTGCATTTGCTGGGAAGACATCCACAGTCATCTGTTTTATGTAGCTTGGCTGGTGGCAACAGACAAGACAATCACTTCTTCTTCAGGCAACCCTATGGTATTTCCATTAGGGCATAAAAAAGCATTAATATAAGAAGTGTCGTAACAAATGTGTACCTTTGTTTACTTCATGTGCATGTATCACCTGCAAAATGTTGCTACCCCACAATAACGTGTCTCGAAAACACGCAGCGACCAGAGAGTGTGCCTTGTGCGCATCTGAGGCGGCGAGGTGGGTGACTGACAGACAACTGAGCAGACAGAGAGGCAAGGCACACAAACCGAGGGAGTGCAGGAGGGTGAGGGCGATGGTATTGGACGCAGCAACGAGGTAAAGGTAAAGGAGGGGGGAAATCCCCCTTTGGGTTACCCCCGGCTGTCGAGGTAAGGCATATTCACTCCCAGATGAGCAGTAAACCCCCTTCTGGGAGGCTGGCGGAACTCGCCGGCACTGGGGTTTGAACGAGGAGGGAGTGTGCCTTGTGCGCGTCTGAGGCTGAGAGATGGGTGACTGACAGGCGTACGGGCGGGCAGAGTGACGAGGCAGAGAGATACAAGAGGAGAGGAGAGGCACAAAATGTACCTCATTTGTATATATGCACTAATCCATTGGTGGATACATATCGCTATAGTATAAACCGTATTGTACTCCTCTGATATTTTTTGTCATCTGTACGTACCAGGGCTATTTTTTTTTTTTTGGGTTGCGTAGCAACCTTATACATTCGTTTTCACTTTTCGGTTGGCTGATGTGAACAGTGAATTTCTTTTATAAATTTTGAAAGAAATCACTGTTCACATAGCTTCCCCAAAAAAATGAAAACAAATGTTTCCAATCATTCCATAATCGTCGATAAGTACGGCGAATGGAACAATTGGAGAATCGTTCTAGCACTAAAGATGATACGGTACCCAGTGACACACGAACACAAAGGACAACACAAAAAATACAACAGTACCACCGAGAGACAAACATACACAAAGGACCACAAAAACGATGGTGTACAAGAACCGTTGTACATGTTTTGAAGGGAATACTAAATGCATCTATGCAACAACTGAGACTGATATGGTACGGAAGAGGCGAGCAAAGCTGCCCCACCGACGATCACAATCCCAGTTGCATACACGAGACACCTAGCACCACACCCCCAAAACAAGCACAGACGATAATACATAAATGATTACAAAAACACAAGACAACGTTTAAGAAAGTTTCAAAGCGAACGCTAAATGCATCACTGCTGCAACTGAGATTGATATGGTACGGAAGAGGCTAGCAAAGCTGCCCCACCGACGATCACAATCCGAGTTGCATTCAGGAGGCACTTAGCACCACACCCTGAAGCACGCACAACACACATATGCACACACATGTACGCACTCACACATACAGGCTCACACATATACAGAGACACATAACGCAAAAACATACAGCTACTGTAATAAGCATGCAAGCATAATGAATGAATTTCAGCCTTGTATAAATTATCACTATCCTGTCCCCCATTCCCCTCCCTCCCTCCCTCCCTCCCTCAATTCCCTCATCTCCCTTCTCCACATCCCTTTTCTCTGCAAGAAACAAAGGCTGCAGCTTGAACTCCCTGCACAGGAAAGAAAAATCAGGGAATGCAACTCACTCCCTGCACAAACAAGAACAAAATCAGAGAATACAACTTGCATTAATAGCACAAGAAAACAAAATCAGAGAATTCAGCTTCTTTGATGCACTAAAAAAAAAAGTAAGCGCAACAGAAATTCACGCGCAAACTCCCACGTTCTCTCACGCGCTCCCTCATGCGCAAACTCGCGCGCTCTATCGCGAGCACTCTCCCACGCGCTCTTTTGCACACACTCTTGCGCGCTCTCTCTTGCGCACTCTCACGCGCTCTCTCGTGCACTCTCTCGCGCACTCTCTCGCGCACTCTCTCACACACTCTCATGCGCTCCCTGACGCGCTCTCTCACGCGCTCCCTCACGCGCTCTCTCATGCAATCTCTCATTCGCACTCTCACGCGCACTCTCACTCACGCGCTCCCTCGCACGCTCTCTCAGGCGCGCTCGCTCTCACGGGCTCTAACACACACTGTCACGCGCTCTCTCACGCGCTCTTTCACGAGGAGAGCAAAAAACAAACAAACAAAAGAAGAAGAAGAAGAAAAAAGTTTTTTTCAGAGGGAGGAGGGAGGATGAAAGAACCGGGAACGCACCAGATAACCACGGTAACTCAGAAAACAACCCGGGCTCGCGCACCAATCCGCGCTCGCGCACCAGCTCACGCTTGCGCTCGTGCACCTGTCGCCGGAGGCGACGGCGGGGAGGAGGAAGAGGCGACGGCGGGGAGGAGGGAGAGGCGACGGTGGGGAGGAGGGAGCGGCGACGGCGGGGAGGAGGGAGAGGCAACCGCGCGGAGGGAGAGGGGACGGCGGGGAGGAGGGAGAGGCGATGGCGGGGAGGAAGGAGCGGCGACGGCGGGGAGGATGGAGCGGCGACGTCGGGAAGGAGGGAGAGGCGACGGCGGGGAGGAGGGAGAGGCGACGATGGGGAGGAGGGAGAGGCGACGGCAGGGAGGAGGGAGAGGCGATGGCGGGGAGGAGGGAGAGGCGATGACGGGGAGGAGGGAGAGGCGACGGCGGGGAGGAGGGAGAGGCGACGGCGGGGAGGAGGGAGAGGCGACGGCGGGGAGGATGGAGAGGCGACGGCGGGGAGGAGGGAGAGGCGACGGCGGGGAGGAGGGAGAGGCGACGGCGGGGAGGATGGAGAGGCGACGGCGGGGAGGAGGGAGAGGCGACGGCGGGGAGGAGGGAGAGGCAACGACGGGGAGGAGGGAGAGGCGACGGCGGGGAGGAGGGAGAGGCGACGGCGGGGAGGATGGAGAGGCGACGGCGGGGAGGATGGAGAGGCGACGGCGGGGAGGAGGGAGAGGCGACGGCGGGGAGGAGGGAGAGGCGACGGCGGGGAGGAGGGAGAGGCGACGGCGGGGAGGAGGGAGAGGCGACGGCGGGGAGGAGGGAGAGGCGACGACGGGGAGGAGGGAGATGCGACGACGGGGAGGAGGGAGAGGCGACGACGGGGAGGAGGGAGAGGCGACGACGGGGAGGAGGGAGAGGTGACAACGGGGAGGAGGGAGAGGCGACGACGGGGAAGTAAGGAAGAGGAGATCGCGGTGTGGGACTGAGTGACTGTGAGGTGAATAGGAGAGGTGAAGGCGGGTAGTGAGGGAGAGGATACGGTGGGATGGGAGCGAGAGCGACGGCTGGGTGGGAGAACTGGCGAGAAATTGGGGTGGGGGGAAGGAAGAGGAATAAGAGCAGAGCAAGTGTGCTTGTCGAGTCGAGAGGAACCAGAACAAAAGAACCAAGAAAAGAGCGCAGAAATTGAGTTGAGAGCTGTGAAAGGGACGGATGCCAGCGCAGAGATAAAATTTCTGCCAGCGCAGAATGAGAATTTCTGCCAGCGCAGAACAAAATTTCTGCCACCGCAGAACGATACAATTTCTGCCAGCGCAGAACGAAGCACCATATACGGTGTCCTGTTTTAAGTTAAAATGAAGAACTTAATTAATTGCTTCTTTAAGCAAAATATGATTATATTGTACTCTTTCATAATGTTCCTTACACACGGAATACAGCTCTACGCAACCCTTCCGACGTCAACGTCGAGTCTTGTTGGATTTTCACTACTCGGATTTCCAGAGCTGTTTTCTAGGGAACTCTGAAATTCAGGGTTTATTATGAGCGTACTCTGATTTGTCAGAGAAAACTTAACTTCTGAAAAATATACTCTGAGCTATCAGAGATCCTATGTTTCCAACTCTGAATGTCCTCTCAAGTATTGAACCCAGGCCTTCTGCACGCCTACCAAAACTATAACCATTGTGCTACGCGCTCAGTAATGCTGCGATGACGGTTTTAATACTCAGTTTGCCTAACTATCTTCCACCAATTGGGCTGCCTATACCCTGTACAGAGAAAAATACATTCGCCACAAATATACACTGGTCTCTCAGAGTAGCTAAAATCAGAACCCTGACAAATCAGAGAAAACTTATCTTCCAAAAAAATTACCCAGACACGTCAGAGTGACCCCCTAAAAACCACTCTGATTTTCAGAGAAACAGAGTAATTTACTCTGATTAAAAAACCCCTGGTACGTACCCTATGTACTGGAGTCTGATATTTTTTAGTGGCAAGTCGTTTATGTGGCTTTCGTCGATAAACCCTACCCCAAGTTCATTCGTTCCTGAGGCTGACGAGAACGAACACTCCCAAGCTAATTGGTTTTTGAGGCTGACTAGGAAAAACAGACCCCAAGCTCATTGGTTTCTGAGGCTGACGAGGACGAACCCGACCCCAAGCGCAATCATTTCTCCTGCCCAGAGGCGCCTCCAGAATGGTGGCGGTGGTTGAAAGACGGCATACCAGGAGGGCGTGGATCAGTTTTCGTGCATGAAACGAGTTACCATACTGCGACATCCCACGGCACATGGAAGAGTTATTGTTGGCACGATGGTAAATCGTGTGGCCAAACAAAGACTGACTACGAAATTCCGAAAAAGACATCGCACGAGCTATCGCCGTACAGTTGATTTGGCGGTGTGAACTGCGAAATCACAAAACGAGTAACCCTGTCACACTCGCGAGAATGACAATGAAATAGGGTTTGTCTGTGGATCTGTGCCCAAGAGAGACTGCTCTACGACCCTCGTACATAGATCGCAATGCCGTCTCAGCACACCACACGACGGAGCGCGTGCAGCGGCGGAATGGGGAACGGGGCACAGTGGTGCAAAGCATGGTGTGTCTGCGCGACAGGATGACTGCTCTACATCCTAGCTCTTTGATCGTGATTCGTGATCGGAGAGGAGGTTTTATCGTCTCAGTACACCATATGGACGGAGCGCGTGTAACGGCGGAATGGGAGCGCGTGCAGCGGCGGAACGGGAGCGCGTGCAACGGAACGGGGAGCGCGTGCAGCGGTGGAATGGGGAACGATGGGCAGTGGTGCAAGGCATGCGGGGAGGAAAGGGCTAGAGGGATCTCAGAAAGTGGCTACAGCGGAATGGGTTGCATTGATTGTGTTGGGGTACAAGTACCTAACCCTAACTGTTTGTACCCCATATAGCATGACCCACTAAAGGCTGTGACATTTGACACACCCCCATAGCCTAAGTGGGGAATGCCAAGCAACAAGAAACGCAACCTAAGGTCACAAGACCAGGCGCAAGCAAGAGAGGAAACAAAGCTCAGAGTGGATCACAACGTCACCACACAGTCTGAGCACAAACAAGGGGCCACAAGGCCAGTTCAAGAGTGTATAAGCTAATATATATATGGTACACACACACAAGAGGCAAGAAATCACTACTGCAGTCTACTAGACCCAGTCTCAACGAGACCTAACTGTAGACAAAACCAGCGGTGGTAACAAGGCTGAAGAGCCTTGATGAAGATGTCTGCAGTGTTGGCCTCGGAGGCCACGAAGTTCAGACGAGCCTGTCCGCGTCGCTGCAACTCTCGAAGGAGGAAGTACCTGACGTCGATGTGCTTCACTCTGCTCTCCAGTCGAGGCTCACGACACAGGAGAATCATCGCCTTGTTGTCAGCAAACAAGGTCGGTGCAGAGCTCGGCCGCTCACCAAGGTCAGTGAGCAAGAAGGTCAACCAGCGTAGCTCCTGTGCAGCAAGGGCTCCAGCGTAGATCTCGGCCTCTGCGGTAGAAGTCGCAACAGAGGAGGACCGAGTAGACCTCCACGAAACAGCTCCAGAGCCCAGGCTGAAACAGTAACCCTGTGTAGACCTCTGAGTCTCAACGTCGTCGGCGTAGGAGGAGTCGCAGTGACCGGTGAGTACAACTGGCTGTGTCCCTCCAAGTACAAGCCCCATGTCTGATGTCGCGCTGAGGTACTTCGCCACCCTCTTAGCCGCCGCCCAGTGAACAGGACGGTGTCTCCCAATCGCAACAAAGCGAGAAAGGATGCTAAGAGGGAAGGCGAGGACCGGACGAGTACACGTCATCAGGTACATGAGGCAGCCCACCAGCTCTACGTAGGGACCACTGGGCTCGAACGGCTCGTCAGGAAAAGGCCCAGTGAGTCTGTGGTCTACAGCAAGAGGGGTGGGTGTAGGAGAAGAGTGCTGAAGCCCGAACCGCTGAAGGACCTGCTGCACCATGTGTGACTGAGTCAGAGTGATGGTGCGAGCGGCTCTGTCCCTAGAGATCTGCAGGCCAAGGTAGCGGCGCTGTTCCCCAAGGTCAGTGCAGGTATGTCTCTTCTGCAGTTCAGACTTCACCTCCGCCAGTGCAACTGTGTCAGTTGTGGCAAAAACCAGGTCGTCAACGTAGACGAGAACGAAGAAAGGTGTGCGCCCACGACGAACAAACAGCGACGGGTCGGCGGAAGACGGCTCAAACCCGAGGTCGGAGAGAGTCGAGCGGAGAGTGTCGTGCCACTCACGGGGTGCCTGGCGGAGACCGTAGACCGTTCGTCTAAGGCTCCACTGGGTCCCTGGCGGGAAAGTGCCAGTGAAGCCCGGAGGACGACGCAGCCAGATCTCCTCGTGTAGGCGGCCCTGGAGGAAGGCAGTGGAGAAGTCAAGAGAGTGTAGCTCGTAGTCTCTCTGCGCTGCTACGTGCAGTAACACCCGAAGAGTGGTCATCTTCGGGGTGGGCGCGAAGGTCTGAAAGAAGTCAACTCCCTCACGCTGACTGAACCCTCTAGCCACGTAGCGTGCCTTGAAGACTGGGGGAGATCCCGGCGGTCGCTTCACCTTGAAGATCCACATGCCGTCAACGATGTTCGCCCCTGGGGGGGGAACCTCGTCAACGTAAGTGCCTGTGGACCTGTAGGAGGCCATCTCTGCGTCCATGGCAGCTCTCCACTGAGAGGCCCAAGGCCCTGCCACTGCCTCAGCGTAAGTGCGAGGAGTAGGTATGTCAGGAGCGTCGGGGTCTCCCTCAGGAGCGAGGAGCATGGCACAGAGATGAGGCGAAGCAGCTACCAGGAACTCTAGCTCAAACTGTCTGTCCTCTAGGACGTCATAGCCAAGGGCAGACTCACCCCCGGCAGACAGAGGACGGACAGGAGGAGCGGCCACAACACGAGTGGCATAGTCAAGGCGACGCGTAGCAGTAAAGTCAGTGACAGTGAGGACCGCGACGGAGGAAAGAGAGGCACGAGGGTCTGTAACAAGAGAGGCGAGAACACGAGAGAGAGTGGGGCGGTACGTGCGGTAGTAGTCAGAGACCGGAGTGGACTGGGAGGCAGTGAGGGACGACTCAGGAGGACGAGGAAGAACAGACTGAGGAGGACGAGGAGGACTAGAACGAAACAAAGCGGTACGGAGGTCAGTGACAGGGGACGAGGGACGAGCACGAGGAGGACGAGAGGTCCAAGTGTGGGCGAGTGGAGGGGGAGACGGAGGAGACTGAGAACGAGGGAACACAGCCAGAGCTGAGTCCGGAGGAGGAAACATAGGACCGAACACGGGAGGAGAGGAGGGGAGACCAAGGGCGTGAAGGCTAGAAACAGGGGCCGGAGGCTGCTCCGGCTGCTGCGGCCGCCGCTGCTGCTGCTGCTGCTGCGGCTGCTGCTGTTGCTGCTGCTGCTGCTGCTGCTGCTGCTGCTGCTGCTGCTGCTGCTGCTGCTGCTGCTGCTGCTGCTGCTCCCGCTGCAACTCCAACCTCTCACGCTCCACCCGCTGCTGAACCTCCGACCTCTCATGCTCCAAACGCTGCTGCTCCTCACGCTCAAGACGAAGAAGGGTCTGGTAACGAGTCGGGTAGGGGTGAGGAGGAGGAGTGGTGTCAGGAGACGCAGCAGAAGAACCGGCTTCGTCCGCAGCAGAACCCAGCTGAGCACCCCCAGAGCGAGTACCTCCCGCGGCTGCACGACGAGCACCAGTAGGAGGCGCACCCGCACCCCCAGTCGTGGTGCCTCCAGTGGCACCAGCACCAGCCCCAGACTCTCCAGCTCCAGAAACATCACCAGCTCCAGCACCCTCAGAATGGGCAGCTGGGGCAGGTGCACGCTCAGCGCGAACGCCAACACCCCCAGAATGGGCTGCTCCTGTAGGCGCACGAACAGCTCCAACACCAGCACCCCCAGAGCGAGCACCCCCAAAGCCCTCACCTCGAGCACCAACACCCTCAGAGTCCGCAGTGGCCGGTAAAGGAAGCGCCGGCGGCTGCTGCGGAGGCTGTGAGGACGACTGTGGGGAAGGAGGAGAGACCTGGGGGGGTACCGAAGGGGGGGGAGTAGCGTGGGACACACCAGACGGAGCGGGGACAGGGGGGGGTACTGGAGGAGCAGGGGCGGGAGGAGGAGGAGCTGGAGCCAGGAAGAGGGGAGGGGGGGGAACCGGGAGACCTCGATAGGGGTACTGGACGTAGTAGGGGACGGACTCGTCGAAACGGACGTCACGAGAGTCAAAGAACCGGTGGGAGGGAGGGTGGTAAAAGGTGAAGTCAGAGGAGCCCTCTGGGAAACCAAGGAAGACACAGGGGACAACGCGAGGCGAGATCTTGTCCGCAGAGGTGTCGCGGACAAGAGCCAAGCAGCCCCAGACACTAAACCTCGACGCAACACCAGGGGACCCTGTCCAAAGATTGGTCGGTGAAGCCCCTGGCCGAGAGACGCGAGGCCAGAGGTTCAGCTGGTGAGCGGCGTACCGAGCCGCGTAGGGCCACAGGAAATGGGGCGCGCGGGCGTGGATCATGGAGGTGCGGGCGATCTCCATGACCAGGCCTAAGCGGCGCTCAGCAACCCCATTCTGCTATGGAGAGTCTGGAAGAGTCCAGGACTGGGTGATGCCCTGCTCCGCACAGAATCTGGCGAGAATGCCGGAGCGAAACTCACCCCCACGGTCGGAGTGAAG